TGGGTCGGTTGGATAACCTGGGAGGGGTTTGTTCTGAGTACTTTTATAACTTCCAGCTTCCCCTTCGTCCTGACCAAATGACTTTGAAAAAGAGCCCACAGAGGTGAAGCTGCAGCCCTGGGCCCTGGGACTCTCATGCCTAAAAGTTCTTCCCAGAAGGCTTTGCAGACAGCGGCCCTCAGTCTGCCCTCTGGGGTTTTCAAGGAGGCTGGCAACGACCTCCACAGCACTTCAGACTGAAGGAGGTGCCCTTGAGGAGTGGGCAGGCAGCTCAGGGGGGTCACTGCAGAGACGAAGTCCTTCCTTGGTGACGTCAGGAGTCTCTCCTTCTAACCCTAGAACTGCACCCCTTCCTTGCCTGGCCTCAGTTCTCCTTTCTGTGAGACAGAAGTTGGTCCCTGATGCGGCTCAGCTTTGCAAAGCCACGATTAGCTGGGAGTTGTGTGTGCCTGATCCTGTTCACAGAGAACCCACACTGGCCACCCTTGCCAGCAGCTGACGGAGGCTGGGAGAGCCCACTTTGCCTTTTTCTGCTGGAGGTGCCAGGTGTCTCCTGAGAAGCACCGACCCAGCACTGGATAATGACACTGTCACCTTCCAGGTCGTCTGTGCTTGGCACCTGTGGAGCCCTTTGCACATTTGCCTCATTCTGTGAAAAAGTAGCATTAACACCAGCTGATTTCTTCAGTTTTAGAAGAAATTTTGAAGTCAGCTTAAACCAGCAAATGTACCAGATCTAGGCTGGCAGATGGTCCAGTGGATGAAGGTGCTCACAGCCAAGTTTGATGGCCTGAGTTCAATCCTCAGAGCCCACGTGGTGGGAAGAAAGTGCTCACTCCCACAAGGTGTCCTATGACCTCCGCACATGTGCTCTGGCGTGCACATGCCTGCAAACATAGTAAATAAAAACTTTAAACATGTAATTCAATGCACTAGATCTGCTGGACTGTTTATCTTTGGGCTTTTTCCTGTTTAACTAAAATGGGCCTCAACAGAAGGCCACAGGCTATGGAAGTTACAAACAATGAAGTGCCCTTGGTTCACAGTTCTGGAGGCTCGGGAGGCCAAGATCAAGGTCATTCTGCTTCTGTCATCTGGTGGCAGAGGGCCGGCTGGTACAGGAGACGACAGAAAAGACTCTAGTCCCCTCACTGGGAACCACGGCTTGATCACGGTGCTAATCCGTTTGACCTAATGCCTCTTAATCCATTGCAGTGGCAATTAGCTTCAATGTGAGTTGTATCGCCCTGTAGCCTCAGCTGACCTGGAACTCACAGAGATCCGCCTGCCTCTGCCTCCCAAGTGCTGGGATTAAAGGCGCACACCACCACACCTGGCTTGATAAGGCACCTACTATTTGTCAATTGAGTAATAGATCTCAGCCAGGTGTGGTGACTCACAACTGCAATCCCAGCACTCAGGGGGCTGAGGCAGGAGGCTCACCATGGCTTTAAGGCCATCCTGGGCTACAGACTGAGACTCTGTCTCAGTATCTTGAGTAGTATGATAAAGATAAGTACATCAGCTGAGGGAATGGGTAAGAGCTACACCTACTTTCCACCTTAGCAATCAGAGGTGAGCCTTCCGTTGGGTTTTCAAGGTCAAGTAGGAGTTCTCTGGGTGGGTAACAAAAACTAGTGGTGCAGTGTTTCCCCCCAGTGGCCAAGTTTCCAACCTCAGATAAGAGTCCTATGATTTAATTCTGTGACAATGCTACACACTTGGAGGTAGAACCCTAGCCCCTGGGTTAAGGGTTCAGTCTTTATGACAGTCCGTTTGAGTGACTGATTTTTTTTGGCTTTTTTTGAAAAGCCAAAAAAATTTTCCCTGTGGCCTCAGTTGGCCTGGAACTCACTATGTAGAAAGATGGCCCATTTTAGATGGCAGTGAAAAGCCCAGGCTTCCTGTTCTGACCAGACAGCTTATGTTGGGACTTCCCAGGGACCCCCCTTAGGCTCTAGGACTTGCTAGAGTTGGTGTCTGGATCTCAGGGGACACAACTCCCATTCACTGGTTTACTAGAAAGGGTGCCATCAGGTGGACGCAAATGGAAGAGACATTTGGGGCAAGATGTGGGCAGGTCAGGGTGGGCAAGCAGGATGGGACAAGTGGCAGAGCTTCCATGCCCCTTCCTGGCACCCCACCCTCCCGGCACCTCAGACTACTGCCAAAGTGAGGCAGGCAGCGGGTCCTAGACAACCAGATGCCAGCCACAAGCTCAAGATGCCCCGATCAGTCTGCTAACTGAGCTTCAGTTCCCTTCCAGAAAGAGGCTCAGAGGTCTCTCAGGACTGGCCCCAGGGTAAGTTAGCCCCCTAAACCTGTTACCTCATTAGCATAAAAACAGGCCTGGGGTCCAGGAGATGGTAAACTGCTTGCTGCCAATCATGGCTGACCCCTGAGTTCAATCCCCAGAACCCGCATGGTGGAAGCAGAGATGATTCCTACAAGTTGCCCTCTGACCTCCACAAGTTCATAGCAGAACATTGTTCCGGTTTGTTTCTCCATTGCTGTGACAAAACACTCTGAACAATACCAACTTGTGGAGGAAAGGGTTTATTCAGCTTACATCTCCCAGGTCACAGTTCATCAGGAGCCCAAGGTAGGAACTCAGTGCAGGAACCTGGAGGCAGGAGCTGGAGCACAGGCCATGGAGGAACGCTGCTTACATCAAGAAGATGCTCCAGAGACATGGCCACAGGCCAGTAATCACTCACGAACTTCTGAGCTCCAAAGGGTTCTGGCAGCTCCACTGCTCTGACTCTGCCATCCACAGCACACACAGCTCATCTCGCAGACCCAGGTCAGATCCATTCCACACCTACTGCTGTTCTTGGTGGTCGTCCCATAGCATCTCAAAAAGCTGGGGTCTCCACTGAAACTGAGGCTACACCTTCACCAGTGGCCTCCCCTGGCCTCACATGGTGCCAAGCCTCACATCCTCTCCATGACCCCTTTGGATCTGATGGGTCTTCACTTTGACTGAGGCCACACCTCCACCATTGGCCTCTCCTGGCCTCTCACAGTGCCAAGCCTCAGCAGTTCTCCATGACCCCCTTCCACAAACAGCCCCAATAGTCTCTGCTTCCCTTTGAAGCTTCACAAGCCAGGCCTCCATTGTTCACAACTCTTTCAGCATAACTGTTCCAAGCTCCACAGCAACAAACTCTGAGCTCTCAATGTCTTTTCCAGATCAAAATTCCAAACACTTCCACAATCCTCCTAAAAACACCAAGGTCAGGTCTGTCACAGAAATGCCCCACTCCTGGTACCAATTTCTGTTTCTCCATTGCTGTGACAAAACACTCTGACCACTACCAACTTGGGGAGGAAAGGGTTTATTTTATCTTATATCTCCCAGGTCACAGTTCATCAGGGAGCCCAAGGTAGGAACTCAGGGTAGGAACCTGGAGTCAGGAGCTGGAGCACAGGCCATGGAGGAATGCTACTTACTGACTTGCTCTCCTGGCCCCTGCTCAGCCTGTTTCCTTATGCAACACAGGCCCACCTGCCCAGGGACTGTGGCCCCACAGTGGGCTGGTCCCTCCCCCATCACACAACAATCAAGAAGATGCCCCACAGACATGGCAACAGGCCAGTTCAATGGAGGCAATTCCCCAATTGAGGCTCCTCAACCCAGGTGTGTCAAGTTGACACTGAAGCTATCCAGTATACACGTGCCACACATGTGCACATACACACCCACGCACACAAATAAAATATAAACACAGGTATCATCAAAAGGTACACTATGAATAACAAAATATTCCTGGCTCAGGAAATCGACAGGTTTCAAGAGCTTTGTGGCAGGAATGGGCTGGAGATCAAGCCTGTTTCCACAACAGGCTGGGGCAGTGTTACAGTAGAGGGAATGGGGGAAGAGGGTCCATGTGTGCAAAGAGGCTCTTAGACCAGAAGTCCAGGTGTCCTCGCTGAGGAGTGGACAGGAAGCCAGAGAAGGCGGGGGAGAGGGTGCCACTGAGCCAGTCAGAAGGTGGGATGACTCGGACCTGGTGATCTGAGTGTGGATAGGCAAAGAGCTGGAATGCAGCCTTTGTGGTGGATGCCCAGGTTCCTGGCAGGATAGGACCAGCATTGAGCAGGAGGAGGGTGGGCAGGCCTGCAATAGGGAGCGGTCAGTCATGAGACCCAAATGCAGTGACACATGATCTGGGAAGGTGACACAGTACATGCGGGGCTATCAACAGGAGACAGTGGATGATGTCACAGGGGTGGCGTGGATGAGGTGGAAGGTGGGTGCCTGAGAAGGGAGATGAGCCCAAGGTAGCAAGCAGATAGCCAGTCTGCAGGTGGGAAAGGACAGGGGTCTCTGTCTCCATGCATCTGCCAAGTTCCTGTCCTGAATCCATACCTGTCTGCTGCACTGGGGGTCCAAGTGGCTCCCCAGCGAGTGAGTCACAGAACATTGGCTGCTGCTTCAAGGGCAGCTTCTGGCAGAAATGTCAAAGGGAGGCTCCTAAGCCTGACAGAATGGGAGCAATGGACAGACTACAGAGAGAAGTGAGAGGCTGCCTACCTCCAATGATGGCCTGGGAAGGAAGGACTGGGTGTGGAAGGGGCCTGAAAGGAACATACCTGGGCTGGGGCTGGCCTAGCGTGCATGAAGCCCTGGGTTCCATTCCTGACACCCCACAAACCAGGCATGGAGGCAAAGACCTGTGATCCCAACACATGGGAGGCAGAAGCTGGAGGATCAGGAGTTCAAAGCCATCGAGTGAGGTAGAGGCTGGCTGGGCTACATAGACCCTGTCTAAAATAAGCTTCAAACCCACAAAAACCCTGAAACACACAAGAAAGGAAGGAAGGAAAGAAAGAAGGAAAGAAGGAAGGAGGGAGGGAGGGAGGACAAATTAAGAAAGCAAGAGAAATTCCTTCCCTGAGCTTCAAGTCAAGACAGAACACTGGAACTACGAGCCCTAGAAATGACCTTTACTTCCTGTACCACAGGAAGGAGGTAGCAGAGAGTGTTGTAAACTCACCTATGATGGAAAGCTCTAGAACGGGAAGAGCACAGGCAGAGCACTTGTGCAGAGCTGGCAGCTTTCAGAAAAGCACAAGAGGAGCTGGGTGTGGTGGTGCACAGCTTGCGTCCCTGTACTCCTGAGGCAGAAGCAGAGGCAGGCGGGTCTCTGTGAGTTCAAGGCCAGCCTGGTCTACAATAGCGAGTTCCAGGCCAGCTGGGGCTACAGGGAGACCCTGTCTCAAAGAAAAAACAACAGCAACAACAAAACAAAAACAGAAAGCCAGAGAGGGTGACAGGTTTGTAGGAGACACCCAGCCAAGTATCCCAACTCCAGTCAACCAATCTCCTTTACCTCTTCTCCATGACCCGCCCACCCTGTGTTAACCCATTCTCTTCCTTACTGACTTGTCTGTCCATTTGTTTTCCTGTCCCTGTCATATGTGCTGGCCTTGGTGCTGAGTGCACAGTGGGGACCTAAGACAGACAAGAAAGAGCCTGGTCCTCAGGGGTGGGAGGAGAGGTCACCCATCCATTAAACAAAGTTGGAATCGGTGTAAACCAGCTCGGTGCTAGGTGCTGCCAGGGTGGAGGGGACAAGTGCTCCAGCCATCAGTGGGTCCCAACTCCCTGTTAGCCCCACGCAGGCGTTTCAAAGCCTGTGCTTCCCAGTGAGGTTGGTGTGGGGTACGCAGCGTGGTCTCATCTGGCTGTTAAATGTTTGCTGTGTGGAAGTTGTTTGTTGAGTACTACTGCAGGAGTGAGTGTCCACCTCCTCTGGAGGGCTGTCTGGCCATGGTAGGAGGATGTATGATACCCCTTAGCGGCTGGATTTCTGCATAAAGACCAAGAGATGACCACAGCAGAGGAATGTGAGGTTTGGGGCTTTGCGTGCTGGCAGGGCAGTGCCACTAAGGGGCTGAGCCGGTCCTGCAAGGAAGCTTTTGAGAAATGTAGACTCTGCCCCATCTAGACCTACCGAACCAGGAACTCTGGGGCCAGGCCCAGTGCTCAGTTCCCACACGCCTTCCTGGGGAGGCCCTGGAGGCTGAGACCCCTGGCAAGCACAAGCAAGCACAGGGAGGGACAAACAGACGGGCATTTGAGACTTGGCTTCTGGCTTGCTCTGGATTAACTCTCTTTAGTAAAGGGTTAAAAATAGCTCCTACTTTCCAGTACCAACTTCCAAAGTTGTGGAGATGACATTTGGCAACACGTGGTAAAGGCCAGGGCCCTGGAGCAAGTACCACGAACACAAGTTAGTTATGATTTTATTATGAGTATTCTAGGTGTCCACAGAGGGTGACCCTCCCTACCCACAGCATTGAGGCCCTTGGGGGTTAAGTCCTCCGGGTAACTGGAGCCCTCTCCAGTAGGTTTGGCCCTGCCAGCCCTGCCCACCTAGCAGAACTTTGTGAGGCCAAGATGCTGCCTGGCTCTGGACCTTCTGGACACAAGGGTTTATAGGACAAAGGTTATCAGGAATCTGGACCTCAACTTGCTTTAGGAGTTGCAGCCTGTGAGTCAGGTGACAGAGCATCGTGCTCCTGTATGATCAATGGTGTGAGCAGGCACAGTGCTGGGTGGGGGTGTCACCTCATCGCGGGGTGAGGTGACAAGTGGGTACATGAAGCGGGGGGGGGCGCCACAGTTTTCCAAAGAGGAGCTCCAGGTCCCCCCACAGGGGGGTGAATGTAATCTGAGTGTTTCCTGTGGCCTCTTCCACCCTTTAAGCAACCCTTCTTGACTATAGAAGGTCATCCTGAACTGTAATCACATGCTAAGCCGGAATCAGCTCTGCCACTTCTGGGGACAGCTGCCCAAGCAGGTCAGACAGGTCAAGGGAGGTTTGTGGACACACTGAGCTCATTCCAGAACTTGTGGGTCCTGCTCCATTCCCCTGCCAGGAAACCAGGGAGTGACACTGGAGAGAACATCCCCTGTCATTAAGCTGCCAGGGGCCACTGCAGGCGGAGTGTCAGGTGGCTTCCTTCTCAGAGGTTACAGAAGGTGGGCTCCTCATCTTCTTCCAAGCATTCCCCCGGGGCACGGGTAGCTGAGTCACAGACCAACATGTCCAGACCATGTTTTCCCAGAAGCAGAGACATGGGACAGTTAGGGGACCTGCATTCTAACAAGGTCCTAGGCAAGATGTGGTGGTGGTCCCTGGGTCCTGGCCTATGTGCACAGAGGCCCCTGCTGGTTGACTCCAGACAGGACCTCCTTTGCAGTGGGCTCCAGTCCCTTTCTCCACCTCTGTACAGATAACTAGCAAGGCTTCCAGTACATTCTCTGGAGTGCCCTCACAACACGGGGTCAGTAAGCTAAACCCCCAACAGGAGATGTGCCAAACAAGTGGGGAAGGGCTTTGAACTCACAGAGATCTGCCTGCCTCTGCCTCCTGAGTGCTGGGATCAAAGGCATGCGCTACCAGGCCCGGTGTTCTCTGGTTATCTTAACTTTTGTTTTATTATTTATACACCTGGATTTATTTATCTATTTTATTTACTTTGTGGGGGGCAGTTGAGACAGGGTCTCCCTGTAGCCCCAGCTGGCCTTGAACTCACAGAGATCGGCCTGCCTCTGCCTCCTGAGTGCTGGGACTACAGGCGTGCACAAGCAGTCACGGCCGTCTGGATTCTTGCAAGCCACCTGAAGTCCTTTGTGAAGAAGGCAGACTTTTAAATGGTAGTTTAGCTTCTATCTTGGAGGGGTGGGGTGGGGTGTGATTGTGGGAAGGAAGTTTACCCCATCAGGCTTAGTCATGGTTGAGACACATGGGAAGTTGGGGGTGGGGGTGGTCTGTGGTGTGTCAGCCTCTGTGAATACTCAGCTTCAGAAACATGTTCTGCACAGAAGGAGGGTCAGAGGCCACTTGGGGACAGCTCTTCCTTCTGCAATTCTTCTCCTGAGGGAGCCCCACAAAGGGAGAGGATGTGTGTACCTCCTCCTGGCGGCCCAGCTGGCCCTCCCTGAGCACGGTTCCTGGTGCATCACCACCTCACATGAGCTTCTGAAACCTCCTCGGGCCCCTCAGTGACCCCTAGCCTCCTCCCCCCGCACACTGTCGCTTCCTTTCCCATCTTCCCCGCGAAAGAAGCGTCCCCCAGCGTCCTGTTGAGACTGTCACTGTCTCTGAATTGTAGCCACGTTGACTCCTGTGGGATGTCATGGAAGGACTCAGGGCTCCAGCCTCTGCACCTACGCAGCCAACACTCCTCCTCAGGGGCTGGTCCCACCACCTGCTACATGCAGCCCCGCGAGTGCCTCACAGAAATTGGTATAGTGTTTGCATACCACCGACTTCCTCTACCCACGTCATCCCATCGTTAGACTACTGACAACACCCGGACAGTGCAGAGAGAGGCCTGTACATAGTCCTCATGCTGTGTTATCTAAGAAATAGTGATAAAAAAGAAGCTGGTAAACATTTAGCACAACCACCACGTCTGACTATACAGTACACCAGCAACAATGGAACAGAATTTTTTTTATCTTTTTTTTTGGTCTTTTTGAGACAGGGTCTCCCTGTAGCCCCAGCTGTCCTGGAACTCACTATGTAGACCAGGCTGGCACTTGAACTCCTGAGTGCTGGGACTAAAGGCTTGCAACACCACGTCTGGCTACTCTGTGAGGTCTTGAAGCTCCATGATGCTTTCCACTCTCCGTGTCTGTTGATAAAGATGTGAATTAAGAGAACAGAAAGCTCACCAAATGTCTAAGTGAGGCACCTGGTCCAAGTGTCCAAGACGAGTGCAGCCCAGACATGACAGGTATCTAAACTTCCGCTGGTGCTGTGTTTTTGTAAACTGTGATGACCATTTTGACAGATTCCTGGCCCAATTAGCCCAGCAACAACTCAAAAGGCAGCAGATGTCCTGACGCACACCTGGGATATCTACTTAAGCTATGTTGACAAAGCGACCTCAGGAATTCTGAGATAACAAGGTCCACCATAAAAAGAGAAATAGGGCCCAGGTGCCAGTCATAAAATAATGACGTCAAAATGCCTGTTTAACCCCGTCTGCACTCCTGTACACAAGCTTTGGTTGCTAATTCTGGGACCCCGTGCGAGAAAGCATGAACCGTCTTTCTGACTCTCTCCTGGGTGATCTCTTTGTTGTTTGAAGAATTTTCCCATAGCACTTCCGCCTTCTCGTGTTGGGGTTACAGGTGCGTCTTCCTGCTGCCTTGGCTTTACAGTCAGCATGTTTCCTTTTGAGACAGGGGCTATGCAACTCAGGTGGCCTCGAGTTCCTGGGCCTCTGTCCCAGTCTATTGAGTGTTGGGGTTACAGCATGTCCCAGCACCTTGACTACATTTAAGTTTTGATGCATTTTGAGCTTACTGTGGTGTACAACGCCACCACGCCCAGCTTCGTCTCTGTTTCTTAACCCAGGTTCTGGTCTGGCAGAAGCCCATGGGTGCTTTGAGGAATGAAAGGGCAGATGAACTGAGACATGGGAACCCTAAGGAGCAGGCTCTCTCAGCCCTGCTGGGAAACACACAACATGCATAAGCTCTTCAGGGGCAAAGCCAGGCATGGCAGCATGGGCCTATGACCCCAGTGTTGGGGAGGTGGCGACTGGAAGATCCCTGGAGTTTGCTGGTCAGCCAACCTATCCTATGTGACACGCTCCAGCCAATGAGAGACTATATCTCAACAAAGAACAAGGCGGAGCTGTGTGTGGTGGTGCACACCTGTATTCCCAGCACTCGGGAGGCAGAGGCAGGTGGATCTCTGTGAGATTGAGGCCAGCTTGGTCTACATAGTGAGTTCCAGGCCAACTGGAGCTACAGGGAGACCCTGTCTCAAAAAATCAAGAAAAAACAAAAGCGAAAAACAAAATGAATGATATTCCTGAGGAATGATAGCCTCAGGTGTCCCCTGGCCTCTACGTGCACACACATGCTCCTGAACACACACACGTACCTGTGCGCGCACACGCGCGCACACACACACACACACACACACACACACACACATACACAGAACTCTTCAGGAACATGCGGCCTACTAATAAGGGAGTAGGGGAGTTTGGACATCAGCGTACATGTGTCAGCTCTGGATAAAGTCAGGGACGTGGTGACA